ATCCAAAGGATTACATATCGTTCTACTATAAGGACACGTGCACACGAATGTTCATTGCAGCACTGTTTACAATAGCAAAGACCTGGAACCAACCCAAATGCCCATAAGTGATAGACCAGATAAAGAAAAAGTAGCACATATATACACCATGAAATACTGTGCAGCCATAAAAAAGGATGAGTTCATGTCCTTTTCAGGGATATGAATGAAGTGGAAACCATCATTCTCAGCAAACTGACACAAGAACAGAAAACCAAACGCTGCATGTTTGCACTCAAAAGTGGGTGTTGAACAATGAGAACACATGGAGGGGAACATCACACATTGGGGCCTGTTGGGAGTTGGGGAGGCTAGGGGAGGGATAGCAGGGAGTGGGGGCATTGGGGAGGGATAACATTAGGAGGAATACCTAATGTAGATGACAGGGGGATGGATGCAGCAAACCAAAATGGCATATGTATACCTATGTAGCCAACTTTCACATTCTGCATGTGTACCCCAGAATTTAAAGTGTAACTATAAAAATAAAATAAAATAAATAAGAAATTTCTTCTGTTGCTAATGGAGCTAACACACTAACAATTATTGATGCATATATTTCATAAATGCAGAAAAAATTAGATTAATTAAAATGCACACAATTTATTTTAAAAACAGTAATTTAAATACAAAGCCATGCTTCTCAGTGTTATATGCTTACTTTATCCAAGTTCACATATTAAATCTGTGAAAATGTCATCTTCAGGCATAGTTTTCTTAACGTAGCTAAGTATTCACTATTGAAATAACAGCAGTTTTTCCCCCTCAGCTTTCTATCTTCTGGATTTCAGGATATCATTGTTAGCCTTGTGGTCCCAATCCTGGATTGAATTGAAAATTACAACAAACATACTGTACGAGTTTTATGATTGTACAATATATTTATTGGCATTTTTCAATTCATGATTGGATTGAAAGGAAAATTCAGTAAGTTTTAACTAAATATGTACTTGCATATTTTAGGTCATTGCTGCTGTAACAGATTATTTTTTAAAACGTAGTCATTACCAAGCAACTTACAAATAAACAGTTGTAGGGATATGAGAGATGACAAAACCACTGTAGCCAGAGTAATTAACTCCTCTCTGCATCTTCAGGGTCTATTTACAGCACATCATTTACATATATCTAGCCTATTACTTCTTTCATTTTTCCCAAACCCACCATATGATGGTCTGGCAGTTTCATGTTAGTGGACCACATCAGAAAGTATGTCAACTACTTCCTCCATCACCATACAAGATTGGAAAAAGTTAGCCATCCTTAGCCACCACTGATTCAGTGCATGTTGGTTTATTATCAAGTACTCTGCATGCTGTCCTGGAAATAGAATCATTATCTATGTTTAGTGTGAAATAGGTCAGGAAGAAAAAGTTAATTTTCAGACTTAACCCCCTATTGAAGTCAATTCTGTTAATATTTCATTTTGCTCACATACTGGTAGAGCCATGACAATAGCTGTAAGTATTAAACAAAATGAACATTTAACAAACCCATTCTGGATTTAATCAATGTAACTTATAATAATGGTTCATTAAAAATGAAAAATACAGGACACGTATTAAGCCAATTAGGACGAATGAACAATAGTAATAAAGTGGTACTCCTGGGAGCAAATAATGATATTTGGTCCCCTCAAAGTGAAACCGTATATACACTGCAGCCCAGCCATTCTTCTAGTATATTCATTTGAAACTCTCACACATGTGCACCTGGAGACATAGAGAAAGATTTTTACTGTAGCATTTCGATAAACACATTAAGAACATGATGGAATTCAGTAGACTGAGATCTATGCTATCAATAATGGTTGCTCACAACAAGAATGTTAAGAGGAAAATCACAAAACAGTATTATTTAGAAATATGTATTTGATAAATTTATGAAAATATAAAGGTAATATCAGGTTCATGATAATGGCACCTCGGGAAATGGAGAAAAGGAAATGATCCTGAGGGGGTGTATCCCAATTGTAACAAAATGTAGCGTAAATAGGACAAGATATGCATTATTAGCTGTTATTTCTAAGTGAGGTTAAATTGGTATTTATTAGGTTGTTTTGTATTTATAACTTTTAAAAATTTTATTCAGAAACAAAATAACTTTATAATGAACAACAGTTACTTTAACTTTGAATCGCTTTGTGAAGTAATTGCTTTTAAATTTCTCTGTCCCAAGGGAGGGGAGCACTACACACTGGGGTCAGTTGGGGGGACATAGGGGAGGGACGGTGGGGGGTGGGGAGCTGGGGGGGGATAGCAGGGGGAGAA